TTAATGCCTCCCTTGATTCAACTTTCCACTAATTACTTGCGCACAGAATAATTATACGCAATTTTGATACTGAGTGTTTTCCACCTTCTCATAATGTGTTTTTAGAGGGTTTAGAATGTACTTTTATAAATAGTTGATAAAAAATTCCAAGCTGTAAAATAATGAAGATTGAGGGACCACTGAAAAAAATGTAAAAGTTGTTATTAACACTTGGCTTCTTTATTCTCTGCTATATCAAGTTATAGAATTTTCTTAATTTTATTTCATCCACTTCTTATTTTCTACTTGGTGTTTCAACTCTACCAGTTTTCCTTTATTTGTCTTCCCTTTTCTATCTGGTTATTCATTTAAAAGTACTTTTAGCATTCAATTACAGTTGAATTTCAATATTATATTAGTGTCAGGTGTATGACACAGTGAATAAACATTTATAGAACTAATAAAGTGATCCCCCCCACAAGTCTAGTGCCTACCTGGCACCATACAGAGTATTCCAATATTGTTGACTATATTCTCTATGCTGAACTTTACATCCCTGTGATGATTTTGTAATTGTCAATTTGTACTTCTAATCCTTTTACTTTTTCCACCCATCCCCCAACCACCATCCCTTTGGCAACTATCAGTTTGTTCTCTGTTTGTTTGCTCATTTATTTCATTTTTTAGATTCCACATATAAGTAAAATCATATGTATTTGTCTTGCTCACTGACTCATTTCACTTAGCATAATGCTCTCTATGTCCACACAAGTCGAATATTAATTTTTTGAATCTCTTTCTTCCCCTCCCCCTCTGATCTCACCTATGTAGGAGTTAATGTAGTTCACTAACTTGGTGTTCTTTTGGATTCCCCCATGACTGTCTTCAGCAGAACTGACCTTTCTTTGGGATAGCTCTTTGGTGGGTGTGGTGGGTGAGGGAGGGGCCTCAGTTTTCGCACAAAGGGGAAGAATCCCATCCTATCTTCTCAGTTTTGATGGTTATTTTCTTTTAGGATTGTCTCTTAAGTAATATGTGGCAAAATTTTTAATTTCAATTCAATCAAATAATCTCTTTTTTATATATTTTTGATTACTGATATATTTGGACTCATTTCTAATATTTTGGTTTTGCATTACATGCTCTTTTTTTCTTTTCTCTTGTAGTCTGTCTGCTATTGCATTGTTAACATACTCTTTTTTCTTTCTGTTGACTTAGGGAATGTAAAGTATCTCTGTTCTTAGGCCAGCATTTATATATATAAAAGTCTAAGTGACTGAATGACCGAATGACCGAATGACTGGTCAACCGGTTGCTATGATGTGCACTGACCACCAGGGGACAGATACTCAATGCACAGGATCCGGCTCCCTCCTGTCTGGATTGGGCCTGCGGGGATCCGGCCGAAACCAGCTATCCGACATCCCCCAAGGGGTCCCAGACTGTGAGAGGGTGCAGGCTAGGCCGAGGGACCCCACTGCTGCACAAATCCATACACTGGGCCTCTAGTCTTTAAATAAATGTGTGTGTGTTGTTCTACAACATTTCCCCCTACTATATCCCACTCCTAGTCCTTGGGTTACTTTTTCTCTTGCTGATTTACTATCTTTAGAATGACTCCCGTGGCTAGTTGAACAAATTACAAGCCAGCTATATATATATAGCTGTCAAACTATGCAGTTTAGGAACTGGGTCACTCTTCATAGGATTTGTCAAGTTTCTACATAACCCATTGAAACACTGATAATCTAGAAACATCATCCACCCTTCCTCATACACTATTCCAGAAACTTCTCTTATATAATGTGTTTTAAGAAAAATCACCAGCTTATACCTTCATTTATTGGAAATACTGACTGCTATAATCCTGCACTGTTTGTATTCACAATTTTGGAGAGATGACTGTGCCATCTCACTGGGCCAATGTGGGTGGAGTTTGCTGTTAAGATGAATGACAGAGCTGAGAGGTGATTGGTCCTCAGTGAGTCTGGTGAACACACTGAGTGCAGGAACAAAATTTGCCTTGGCCAGGACTCTACTCCCTCCAGAGCAGGGGCAAAGGCACCACAGCAATTTGGCAAGAAGTCATGAAGAGACACCTGGGGGCTCTGCTGGGGCTTCTGTGGGCCCAGGTTTGCTGTGAGTCCCAGATGGGGAACTGGGGAGTGTTCCACTGCTGTCAATAGAAGGGGGAAGGCAGAGCTGACACAGAGCTCCTACTCTGGTGTTTCTTGGGATATTTTACAGGTTTAGAAACTGTATCAATCATCCCCAGTGACCTCATATGTGTTTGTTTTTCTCTTTCCAAGCAGGGGTGAGAGGGATGAAGGTGGAGCAGAGTCCTTCAGCCCTGAGCCTCCAGGAGGGAACCAGCTCTACTCTGAGGTGCAATTTTTCTACCACAGTGACCAATGTGCAGTGGTTCCAACAGAATCCTGGGGGCGGCCTCATCAATCTGTTCTATTTAGCTTCAGGGACAAAGCACAGTGGAAGGTTAAGCTCCACACTGAATTCTAAGGACCTGTACAGTACCCTGAGCATCACAGCCTCCCAACTGGAGGACTCAGCCACCTACCTCTGTGCAGCGAGTGCACAGTGCTGCCAGGTGATCTGCAGCCTGTACCCAAACTGCAGCTGGGCCTGCAGCCCCCACCCCTTCCACGGGCAGGCATGTTGCCCCACATTAGCCTTGCACATCTTTGGGTTTTCAAATTTATGTTCCAAACCTCTCTTCTGCCCTAAAATTAGACTCTTCAGCTCTGTCATTTCACCTTTTTTGGGCCTTATTTTTTCCCTGAAAACACTTTATAGGTAAAAAACTCTTATATGGAACCATTAAGATAACCGATAAAAATGCCAAATACAATGCAGGCAGCACATAAATGACATGTAAATTACTTTGCTGGAAAAGGCTTGGAAAAATGTAAGGTGGTCAAGAAGTAGGAAGAGCCTTGGCCGGTTGCTCAGTGGTTAGAGTGTCAGCAGTTGGATTCCTGGTCAAGGGTTGCAAGCTCCATCCCTGACCCTAGTGTGTGTGTGGGGGTGCATGTGGGAGGCAACCAATTGATGAGTCTCTCTCACATCAACGTTTCTCTCTCTCTCCTGCCCCCTCCTCGTTCCCCTCCACTCTTCCAAAAAAAAAAAAAAAAAAAAATCAATGGCAAAAATATCCTCCGATGAGGATTAAAAAAAAAAGCATGAAGAGATTATTCTGCTTTTTCAGTTAACTGAAGATGGTTCTACTTTCAAGGAAAAAGGAAGAGAGCCTGTGAAATGTTTTTTAAAGTTTGTATTAAGCTTATTCACTCCTGGAAATATCAAATATAAAAAAAATAATTTTATTGAGTGGCAAACACTCTATCTAGCTTATTGCATATATTATTTACTTAGTACAAATAGCACCCTGTAAATATGCACATTCTCATTTTATGTATGGATAAAGTGAGGGATGTTGAGTATAGGTGACTTTCTTAAATTAACAATATTATTAAACTAAAGGCCTGGTGCACGAAATTCGTTCACGGGTAGGGTCCCTAGGCCTGGCTGGTGATCAGGGCCAATCTGCGGGGCAACTAGCAGGGTGATTGTGGGGCCCCCGCTGGCACCCGCCTTGGCTGGCCTGGTGCTGCCCGCTTGCCTGCCCCGCCCTCGCCACCATTGCAGGTCGGGGCCTGTGGGCTGGGGGCAGCTCCTGCATTGAGCTTCTGCCCCCTGGTGGTCAGTGCATATCATAGGGACCAGTCGTTCCACCGGTCATTCTGCGGTTTGGTCGATTTGCATATTAGGCTATTATTATATAGGATAATTAAAGACGGGGTAACATGAGAGCTTATACTTTGAGCTACCTGATATAGAACAGTCTTTAAAACCACCTATTTCAAGTGATTTTTTTGATAAATTTGTACAATGTGTTTATATACATTACCAACAAAATATCATATTTAGATCATTTAAAATTAAATTTATTAGGGTGACATTGATTACTAACATTATATAAGTTTCAGGTTTGCAATTTTATAACACTGGTGCTTTTAAAGTTCCATCCACTTATGGGATGGAACATGTGTGTGAGCAAAGGAGGTACATGGGGCAGCAGGACACAAGACAGGAACACTTTCTGTTTATACTATTCCCTTAGCAGACATAGACAATATTTACTTTCTCCTGGATTTATTCTCACAGAGGTAATCATAAAATTCCAAGAAATTCAAATGGATGAGAAAGGGTTTTTTTTTTTTTTTCAGCAAAAGATAATTCTGGAAACTCACAGGACGAGGGACATTATCAATGTCCAGGGAAAAGAACATTGCAGTGGAGTTTGGGAGAAAAGTGATAGAATATGGAATCTGATCCAGCAATAGCCAGGGAGGCAGGAATCCATGCTAGGAGAGTTGGCTTATACTTTAGAAGAAATTCCACTAAGGATATGAGTCAGTAATTGCATTTTAGGATATGCCACCCATTTGATATGAGAAAAAGAAACCACCTCAAGAATAAACTTCATGTGTTTATATTTTATGAATCTGCAGATTTCATTTTTTTCTTGTGTAAGAGAGTGAATCATGGTGCTTTCCTGATTTCAAACCTGTAATCCCAGGCCATCATTGAACAAACCCAACAGCTTCTGCCTCTTTACAACATATTAACAATGACTGAGTAGTGTTCAGGGATATAAATCTTAATCTCTAGATTCTTCCTTAATCTCTGGTCTAAAAGTTAATTTGTTTCACTTATTGCTGACTTTGCATGTCTGAATCTCTCACAGGAAACAGGGTAAGAGAACATTTAACAGCAAGTTCAGTAGTTGTGAATGTAACCACAAGATGGCAGTGCACCTCTGCTGATGCAGAACATGTGGAGGGTGCATTTTAGTGGATTCTGAATGAACAGGCTTTGGCAGAAGCACAGTCTTTTTCTTATTGGCTGGGTAGAATGTGAGAAACCCCTATGATGGTCAGAGGAAAGGAGGGGTAACTTGATAACAGCAGTAGCTCCCCTGGCTCTGATTGCAGGTCCACAATTGATCCTGAGTAGGAAGAATGATGAAGACGTCCATTGGAGCTTTGTTCATGTTCTTGTGGCTGCAGCTGGACCGTGAGTTGAGGGTTTATGGGAAACAATATATTAGTGGATATTCTTTAGAAGCAACACTGGCTTTATTCAGGATTCCTTAGTTACTGGATAAAAAGAAAATGATAAAGTTTAATGATCTGGTCACTGTTCTCCTTTCTCTGACTCTTTCTTTCTGCATAGGGGTCAGCCATGGAGAGAAAGTGGATCAGCATCCTTCTACCCTGAATGTCCAGGAGGGAAACACCGCTGTTATCAACTGTTCTTATTCAGACAGTGTCTCAAACTACTTCCCTTGGTATAAACAAGAACCTGGAAAAGGTCCCCAATTCATTATAGACATTCGTTCAAATAAGGACAAAATCCAAGCTGGAAGACTCACTGTTTTCTTGAATAAGGCAGCCAAACATCTATCCCTGCACATCGCAGCCACCCAACCTGGAGACTCAGCCGTCTACTTCTGTGCCGCGAGTACACATTGCTTCCCAGGCACCTGCATCCTGTACACAAACCTGTGAGTGGGGCAGCCCCCTCTGCCTGGGACAGACCTGCAAGCATAGCATTTGTGAAATTGTCTGCAAGTGGAAGCTAATGTGTTATATGTTAAAAACACATAATAGGAAGGTTAATTTCAAGATGGCCCAGGAAGTGTTAGAACATTTTGTTGAATGGCTATTGCATATGGATTCTTGAAAGGAGTTAGTAATGTTTTATGTTGAAATTGAGGCTTTAAAGATGAATTTACATTTGATATTTAGATACCACTCCTATATAAAACTTCTTACCATCATTATCATAATCCTTATTGTGGATGGACATTTAAGTATTTTATTTTAAAAATAGTATTTATTTATTTTATTTTAAAACATTATATGCTAAACATTGAAAATAAGTACAGTACAAAACCACAAAATTGATAATTCTGTAATGAGGTAAGATTAGTATTATTTGGATCACTCTTTTCATCAATTTTTATTGTAATTAGTATCATTTTTTTCACTATTATACCTTGAATAGTGCATTTCCTTTTCATCAAGTATTTCAAACATCTGCTTTTTAATAGCTGTATGAGAGATTTTAATAACTTATAATTTTACTAGTGTCCTGGTGCACGAATTCATGCACATTTAAAGGAAATTAATTAGAAGAAATATTATAATATTGCTATTCACCCTTTCTCTGTAATAGAAGTGTTAGAGATGAAAGAAAATTAGTAAAATGTATATGAAAATAATATATAAATTAATTAACAAATAAACAATAACAACATGATATAACAATAACAAAGACATGATATAAAAACATGATATAAAACAACATTGATAAAAACAATGACTGATAAATTTATTAAACTTATTCTAACACTGAGGCCAGTGTCAGCCGGGGACAAATCAATTCTTGGAATCAGAACAACCTCTCCTCCACAGATCCTGTTAATACTTCAGCTTTGATTATATTAGTTCACAATCTTTTGATAATAAATCTAGTACCATTACAAAGACCCCATTTACTATGAAGATTCGCATGATGATTGCGCCTACTTTCAATTCTGATTTATGACATGGCATTTCCGAAGGAGTAATACTTTTAAGAAATTCAATGGGAAAATTTTTCTTTCTGGCATCATCTGTTGAATCTAGTATTATTGTCGATTACACTATCCTCTCTGAGTCTTAGTGCAATATCCGTTCCCCAGCCTTTTTCACCACGTGGGAAAAGAACAGGATGCATCATTGCATCTAATGTAGGAAAAGGATACTGATTTGTTTCATTTTAGTGGCATTCGGGTTATTGGGATCTGGTTTACAATGAATGAGCAAGTCCCTTTCAAAACGAGGTCCTCCATCTTCGTGACGGCAACTTTGATTACATGGGGATAATTATATCTACCTGGATCACTATTATGATCATATTTAATTGCCATTGTTACTTCCGTGTGACGACACCACTTTCTTTCAGCTTCAGAACATCAACAAAAATAACCAAATTCACAATCGACAATGACAGATCGAAACACACACATGCGATTGGTGCCAGTGAAAGCTTTATATGTATTGCACATGTGCGAGTCAACTTAGCCTTTTATAGATATAGAATAAACTTGCTTAATTAGACCTGCTTTCTAATTTAGCTAAACTTTTTCCAGCCCAGTGAAGCACCCCAACTTCTCTTTCAGGTAATTGTCAGCAACACAGCAGTAAATATCAACATGAAGCAGATTATTATTGCAGATCACACAGGGAGAACAAAAGGTAAAATATTTAATTGCAGCAGTGTTTGACTATATTCTGTGCAGTGAGAAAACCTAAAGTCATTTTCAAGGTCCACCATTTCTTACTTCTTTTCAGTCAGATCAAGTTTCTAAGCTTTCTAAATCTCCGTTTTCTGGCTAATGAAAAGAAAATGGGATTCCACTGAGTCTCCTGTCTACCTACTCCAGGACTTCTGTGAGGATTAAATGAGATGAGGCATGGGAAAACACTTCACAGACATGTGGTTACAGTGTAAAGTGTTTCCACCTGAGGCTAGTCATCGCTAGAGAGAGGAAGCCAGGTGTTGCTACTTGATGTCATTACCCGGACAGTCAGACACTTAGCATATTAGCCTTTTATATAGATAGCCTAGAGTCCTGGTGCACAGTATTCCTGCATGGGTAAGGTCCCTAGGCCTGGCTGGTGATCAGGGCCGATCAGGTTCTTCCTTCCCCCAGCTGCTGGCTGCTGACTGCTGGCTATTGCCTGCTGGCAGGGGCCTTCCTTCATTCTGCGCCACACCCTGGTGGTCAGCACACATCATAGGGAGCAGTTGAACAACTGGTTGGTTGAACTCCTGAGGGGACAATTTGCATATTAGCCTTTTATTATAGGACTAGAGGCCCAGTGCACAAAAATTTGTGCACTCGGGGGGGTCCCTCAGCCCGGCCTGTGCCCTCTCACATTCTGGGACACCTCGGGGGATGTCCACCTGCTGGCTTAGACCCACTCCCCAGGGGATTGGGCCTATGTTGGCAGTCAGATATCCCTCTGGCAGCCTGGGAGCCCTCGGGGATGTCCACTTACCAGCGGGGAGGAGGCCTAAGCAGCAGTTGGACATCCTTAGTGCTGCTGAGGAGGCGGGAGAGGCTCCTGCCACCACCGCCGTGCTGTCAGCCATCAGCTTGGCTTGTGGCTGAGCAGAGCTTCCCCTGTGGGAGCACACTGACCACCAGGGGGCAGCTCCTGCATTGAGCATCTGCCCCCAGGTGGTAAGTGTGTGTCATAGTGACCAGTCATTCCTAGTTGTTCTGCTGTTAGGGTCAATTTGCATATTACCCTTTTATTATATAGGATAGAGGCCTGGTGCCTGAGTGGGTGCCAGCTGGTTTGCCCTGAAGGGTGTCCCGGATCAGGGTGGGGGTCCCACTGGGGTGCCTGGCCAGCCTGGGTGAGGGGCTGAGGGTTGTTTGCAGGCTGGCCACACCCCCCGGCGACCTAAGCTCCCAGCTTCTCCTTTTATTTATTTATTTTTTTCTGGGATTTATTTATCTTCTATAATTGAAACTTTGTAGCCTTGAGTGAAGCCCAGGTCCAGCCAGAGCAGGTGGGAAACTTGGCCTCCTCCATTGCCAGGGGCAACTCAAGCCTCCTGCTTGCTCCAGCTCTGTGGCCTCTGCCAGCTTAGTTGGGTTAATTTGAATATTTGCTCCTGATTGGCTTGTGGGCGTGGCTTGTAGGTATATGTTTGCATTTACTCTCTCATAGAATTTAGAAGACAGAGTTGTGTATTATTCACTGAAGTAGCTTCAGTACCTAGAACAAACTTTTTCACATATTTGATAATCAGAAGATAGTTGTTAAAGAAAGAAAAGTGAATTCTGGTATTTACTCATCATTTTAATTTAAGGTTTGTGATAGAATAAACTTATGAGTTGATTCATGAATAACAAATATTTTTAATGTCTATATTTGATTATTTAAGTACGTACTATATCTTTTCATTTATGTATGACTTTCTCAATAAAGCTCTGTTGTTTTGAGATAATTAAATTTACTCTTAGACTTGTAATTTTTTGTTCCCATTATGACTTAAATCCTTCTTTTTGTGCTACGTAGGATTTTTTTTAATAGAAACTTGATTTATTGGTGGGTGTAAGGTGGGGGGCAGCACCGAGACTCTCACCAGTGCAGGGCCCGCCATTTGTCCAGGGGACCATGACTAGAGATATATTTGACCCCACAACCATCTGGGATGAGGCGCTTCTCGGCCACCATGTCTTCAAACTCATCCGCATTAAAGTTAGTAAAGCCCCACTTCTTGGAGATGTGGATCTTCTGGTGGCCAGGGATCTTGAATTTGGCTCTGCGTAGGACCTCAGTCACATGCTCCTTGTTCTGCAGCTTGGTGCGGATGGACATGATGACTTGGCCAATGTGGGCTCTGGCCACTGTGCCTTGGGCTTTCCAAAAGCACCCGCATACCTGCCTGGAGCCTGCCGGCCCCAGCACAGGACAACATCTTGTTGATGCGGATGCCGTGGAAGGGGTGCAGCCGCACTCGGACGTGAAAGTCATCTTTGCCACAACTTTTCACCACGTCTTGTTGGCACAGATTCACGCGGCCCCCAAGGCTTTGGAGGAGAGCTGCTCATCTTCATCTGACACCATGTGGCCGCAGAGTGGGAACTCATCTACTTCTGCCTCTTCCGCCCCACGTCAAAGATGCGGATTTTGGCATCAGGGACACTGAAGCAGAAGCAAGAATTTGGGTAGGGCTTGTTCTTACAATACCAGTAACACTGGGCAGGGCGGTGACCCATGGCAACACCAGGGTCTTCAGTGGCATGCTGAAGGGAAAGAGCAGGATATTTTTTATATGTATTCATCAGCCACCTTATTATTAGTGTATTGCACAAAGGCATTGGACTAATTTAAAGATAGTTTGTTACAAATCTCCCTGCCTAATCTACATGTTTTGTTTTGACTGAATGAAACATTACTTACCACAATCTTCTCATTAAAAAAAAAAGTTTTATTGATTTCAGAGGGAGGAAGGGAGAGGGGAAGAGAGATAGAAACATCAATATGAGAGAGAATCATCCATTGTCTGCCTCCCACATGCCCCTACTGGGGATGGAGTCTGAAACTCAGGCATGTGCCATGACAGGGAATTGAACTGCAACCTCCTGGTTCATGGGTCCACACTCAACCATCCGACCACATCTGCCTGGCAACAATCTCCTTTAAAAATATTATTTTTTTAGTGTTATAAATAAGTCAGTGGGATGAAAGATATTGAATAAATAATTAATTCCCTAATTCTCCCACCCTGGTCAAGTGTACACTATTTTCAAAGAAAGATCTCTTACCCTTTGAGGGACCTGGAGAGTATTATGCTAAGTGAAATAAGCCAGTAGAGAAAGATAGGTATCACATAATCTCACTTATATGTGGAATCTAATGAACAAAATAAACTGATGAACAAAAATGATCCAGACAATGAAGCATATAACAGATTGATTATTTCAGGGGGAAGGGGCAAGGGTGGGAAGAGATTAATCAGAGAACTTATATGTATACTAGGGGCCCAGTGAACAAAT